ACCTAATGATTACAATCCCAGGCAGTGAGAAGGACAGCGCTGTTACAGGGACAGGATGAGGTTAACCCAGGGCAAGCATCAGCTTCTCAATGATGTAACTTTGATATAAGAAGGCATATAAGAACAGATTAGCATTCTGTTAAGCTGGAAGCTAGAGCGCTGGCGTTACACAACAGTAGAAGGGGAAAGGCTGTGCTTCTACTACTGACTTTTTATCATTAATAACTGCTTTCAGGGCAGTCGATATGTCCTTCGAAGTCATTTTGAGTATATTCAGTGTCAGTCCTGCTCCCCGTGACTCTATTCGCTTGGCGTTGTCCATCTGGTCTCCAAATAAAGGCATTAGTACCATTGGCACCGCATTGCATATGCCCTCATAAACACCGTGTGAGCCTCCATGGGTAATAAATGCACGAGTCTTAGGGTGAGCTGTGGAGGAAAGAAAGACTTGCTTAGCTATTTGATTTGTTAAGTCACAGTAACACATCCCTGGGGAAAAACTTGCACAAAAATGGCACTGATAGGTATAAATCAAGGACTTTGCGCTGCCATGTGCATCATTACTGATGGACAGACTTAGGGCTGCAGAGAACAGGACATTACAAGAGATTGAATGAACCTTGGGTTGTAGAGCTCTGTCTTGGTTTGGGTAATCTCTGGAAAGCCTTGGATAATCCTCCAAAGCTTCTCAGATTTTAGGATGAAATCAGAGCAAAGTGAGATTAAAGAGGATGTTACCATTGCTTGCTTTTTTACCATATCTTCCATTTGCTGGTTTTGCAGATCTCCTGCAGTCTGCCCTGTGTCTAACTAATGCACTCCTAGCAATAGCACGTACAATTTTACCACTTGAAAAGCCCAACGACCTGTCTGGAAATGCTCACTTGGGGACCTTAAGTTTTCTTTTCAGTCCAGTAGGCAAAAACATGAAAAAAACTCATGGCTGGGTTTTGAGACAGGCTAGTCAGAGATAAAGACACCCCATTTTTGACAGTAAGGGTAGTCAAGTGTTGGAACACCTTTCCAAACAGTGTTGTTTCATAATTCGGCAATTTTGAAGTTGCAATCAGATAAGTTTCTAAAAGATGATCTCTAGTTCAAACAGCAAAGGCTGTAAGGAAGTCCTGTGACCCACAGTGATACAGGGTGTCAGCACAGATGATTCTAATGGGGCCTTACAACAGCATTATCAGATTAAAAGAAACAAGCTGGCATCACTCAAAGTATCTCAGACCTACCTAGAAGATCATTCTGTGGCAGCCATTTGACAAGCTTTACATTCTTCGGCAAGTTGGGGGGCACCTCTCCCGTGTATCGCCACAAAACCTTTCAAGAGAAGTAAACACAATGTCAGTTCTCAGCAACTGGCCTCTTGCTGCTCCTCAGTGTGTTTGTAAAGCACAGCTGAAAGCATCCGTGGTGCACAAAACCTGTTTTTGTTGTGCAGAGCAGCTGGGGTGATAGTTTCTTCTGGCATCAGGGAGCAGGAGAAAGAAGGGAGGACCAAGCACACTGAAAGCCAAAGGTAATCATATACTGTATTTGAAAACAGTCTTGAATTGCTGTGCTGAAAGGGGAAGAGGGAAACCATACCGTCTGAGGGACTGATCCCAAGGCATCTGCAATTTCTGTGGCTTTCTTCATAGGAATCTCAGAGACCATGGAGCCCAGCGAGAAGACAATAATGCCGTGTTCTCCAGAGGCATTCACAATAGCTTCAAATTCCTGCCAACACAAAGCACATCCTTAGTCAAGGTCCCTTCCATGTCATACACTGCAGTTTCTGTCATGTTCCCACAAAATGATCTGGAAAGGCAATAAAATGAACAGTCAACACAACAAAATTTTGATCAGGAAAATTAGTTATCTATATGAAAATGAGTCCCAGGGGAAAAAAATGAGCATGGGGGGATAAACAAAGTTATGGAGGCATGTGAGTGTTTGCAGAATTGAAGCCCAAACTGAGATTCAGTATGGACATGAGAAAAAAA